TTTTTCTGACTTTGTGGTCGCCACTGTGACAACTGACAAAGGGAAGGGAGGTGTGGACGAACTAGCTGACACCCTTGTCCTGATGCTTGACAAACTCCCTCTAGGCCCCATGATGATCAGACTATGTCTGCTGAGGGCCACCCCCAAGGTGCTGAGGAGAACGCCAATGATTCGTCAAGCGCAGCCAGATCACAACACGCTGACGATGAGGGCTCCGGGAGCATGGCTGAAAAGAACGACAACGATGACGATGATGAGGATGACGATGACACAAATGCTAATGCAAAGAAAGCCAAGAAAGCCCCCGCACAGAAAGGGCGACTCATTATCAGGCTTTCTCGGGCTACAAATCAGGAGAAGTCTCACCAGATAAAGGATGCTCAAGGAAACGTCATCAGTGAGACTCGCTCCAAGGTACATCATGACAACCCCTCCTCATCATCAATTCCTATGCAAAGAGTGCAAACAGCAAGCAACTTGGCTGATGAAATAGCCTATATGACAGTTGCTCTGACCTAGACACTATAAACCGGGCTAACCCCATAGGTGCAGAGACTGATATTTTCAGTTTCCGAGTAGAAGACGCAGCATCTAGCCCAACTGCGCATGCACAAGCCTCACTTGACCACTCTGCTGCCTCCCAACAGGCAGTAGTCTCACAAATAGGGGACATTATACCCACCTCACTGCCTCCTTATGACGCAGTTGAGGACATTCTTTGTGGTCTTCCGCCCCAGACCACTACCCCTCCTTCAACCACATTGAGTCTAGGTTCCACCCTCCCAACATTTTCCACTTTTTCTAGGACACATACACTTCTCACACCACCGCACACAACAGGTGCACTTTACCTGTCCTCAACGATCGGAGATACGTCGATGATGATCGGAAGTCCTGCTACTCAACAGATACCTCCATCATTATCTGCAGGCCACACATCAGTAATCTTTACTGATGCTGTGACAACGGTTACTACCCCTGTAACCGGAAACCCTGACCCTACCGACCTTTCAGACATTTTGCAGCGTTTCATGGATTCCACCATTAAGCCATGGGTGCACGAAGCAATAACCGCTCGGGCACAGGAATTCAGGAACACCCCAGCACTGCTTAACGACATCATCCAACCCCAACCATCATCATCACATACCCAACAATCACATCCACTTACCCATTTCTCCACCCGCCAAATCTCTGAACCTTACACAACCCAACCTACCACTCCTACCACTTCAAGGGGAACCCAGGATACAGAACTAGTGTCCTCCCCTACTTCGACCACACCTTTCCCCAACCCGAAAACTCTTTCATTCGAGGTACTCGAAACCCTCATGCTGGAACAACTACTAGCTACCGCAGAAGGCAACCTAACCCAGAAACAAAAAGACCTTCTTCGGATCCTTAAGCCTGACAGCACATGCCATGATAGTCTCCGTGGTCACAAACGTTCGCATGAGGATCCCGATGACTCAGATTCTCATGAGGGGGAGAACAAGCGACAACGGACACTTGAGCATGGTGCGTCAACTAGCCAACCCTCTACGCATACTCACCAACCCAAATCCTCGAACACTCAACCCCCAACATCCACTCAACACAAAAGCCAAACAGCCAATCCACCCATTTCTAGCCCGGTTGAGCTAAATACAACACTCCTAGGCACACCCTTTACAGGTGTTGTCCAAGGATGGAGTGGAAGTCCTGAGGTTGCTACTTCGAGTACACCATTTTATTCAGGCCATCAGAAAGAACCTAGTTCTAATTTGATGATAACGGGCAATCCTAGTGATCCCGGGGTTACTTTTAACAGACCGCCACAGCAGCAACAAGTTCCCCCTAGCCATTCAGATGATCGAATGCATGACGAACTTGAAGAAATTCTTGTTCATAACAAGTGGTCTCGGCGGCTATGGACAAATGTGGATGAAATACAGTGAAGAGCCTATCTCAGAGAGCTCTTAGTTAAATGTGCTGCTGATGTGATACTGCTTGATGACGATGAATTCAAGGAAGGAGAGAATTATCAGGAACCTCCCAAGGAGCTGGAATCCATCATCAGACAAACAGCGGCTCGAATGCCCAGAAGTGAAAAGCCTTGGGAGAATATAAACATCAATGCTCATTTCCAAGAGGAAATCAGAAAGCATATATGGCGAAGAGATGACAAAGTCAAGGAACTGGACGAATTGAAAATCCGTGGGCTTAATCATCTGCGAGGAAAGAACAAGGGCGGACAACTGTTTCTGCTTAGTCATCACTACATGGGAAAACAGAGAGAAGTATGGCAACATGAACTACAAACAGCAACAGGCCCAGTGTGGAGTATTCTCAATGTAGCCGAAGTAAATCATCAAGACATCACACTCTCTGTTTACCGCCTACAACGCTCTGACGGGACTGAGTTCATCTGCAAGGAAAATGACCTCTATATGCTAAAGATGGACGACATCTATCATATGTATCTCGCATTCCAGGAAATTCCCGTCACTTGGGACAAATCTACACAAGACGGATTCGAGGCACTCAAGCACTTCATGATCAGACAAGTCAAATTCTTTGCTTCCCATGATCTTCAGATGGCCCTAGAAACCAATCTGCCAAAGACAAACCTCTCAAGACCAAAGCTTTATGGGCCAGAGCTTGAGAACTTTCCAGCGTATTACATCTTCGATAGCCCGTTAGCGATCATCTACTTGAATCACAATGGTGAGAGGCGTGTGTTGGTGGCTGAAGAAATCAACAAGTACTGTGATGGAACACTGAAGATTGTGAAAGAAAAATTTCAACCGATCAGAAAAGAATTTGAAGAAAGACAACAGAAGTATGCAGATGCCACGGATGCTGAACTGACAGAGTCAAACAGAATCGACAAAGTGTTGAAAGCTATAGAGAAACAACTTGACATAAGAAGGTCACTCAGAAACTATGAGCATGCACTCAATCTCAGAAAGCACTATTATAAAGCTCGGAAGTGAAGAATAGAAGAAGCAAAAACATCTGATTACAAAGGGGGGATTGTTAGAGATATTTTCATTATATTGTGATCAATGTCACTTAGCCTTTTGTAATAATTTATTTATTCATAGAATAGGCCTTAAATGGAAAAGGCTACTAAGCTAAATTAGGAATGGGCCTCCTAAAAAGGAGAGCCCATATCATTGTAAAACCTACCATTCTAAGGAGGCTATAAATAGACCCCTTAGGCATGGCTAGGTTAAGCTTTTCAATACATTCTCTGTGCCGCAGTGTCTATTTGCGTGTAAGGTTTTTACGCTAAGTTTTCACATCATTCTGTAAAACCTTCACCATCAATGGAAAGCTTCATTCCCAGATATGTCTTCCTTACTCATACATTTTAGACTAGAAAACAGGGACCTAACAATAAGTGTGAAATATTGACTTATTTATGAAGAGATTTTTTCCGTATTAATGTTAATTAATTAATTACGAAAATAGGGTTGGGTTAAAAGTATTTACCAAAATACTGATGGGTTAACCATGGTCGGGGTAAGTCGCCCAACGGTTGGGCGACCTATAAGTCGCCAAACCGTTTGGCGACTTATAGGTCGCCCAACCGTTGGGCGACTTACTCTTTTCCCAAGCCGCAGCGACGACGGACAGAAGAAGGAACGACGACCGAGCCATTTCCAACTCCGGCGAACCTCCATCTCCGGCGACCCCACTCTGGCAAACCTCCATCTTCATCTTCAACACTCTTTCTTCTTTCTTCTAGGTAAATCAAACTCCATTTCGTCTCATTTTGAACTTAGGGTTTTGAATGTTAAAATTTTCGAATTTTTGGATTATGAATTGATTGTGAATTAAGTTGTTGTGAAATGTGGATATGTAGGAAATGTTGAAATTTGATTTTAAATTGATTGTAAATTTTAATGTGTATTTTGACATTTGGGCATTTGGGTAGACTTGAATGTAGCTAAATTTGGGTATTGAAAGGTAGACTTGAATGTAGATATCAAAATTTGGGTAGTTTCATATTGAAATGTGAATTGTTTGTGAATTTTGACTTTTGGATATATTACAATTTTGGTAGCTTTTTCTATTGAAAATTTGAATGTGTATAAAGTGTGTATATTGATGCCTACTCATGAATGTTGGACAATGAATTGTTATTAGAATATGGATTTCTCAAGCTTCCCAATCGTGTGTCATTGGGGAGGGAACTATTATGAGGATGTTGGGCAAATATGCCATGAAGGTGGTAGAACCAGCTTTGTCATGGTTTCTCGTGGCGCTTGCATGCTCGAGATCCTTAAAAAAATACATGCAGCCACAATGATTCATCCTAGCCGTTCTTTGCGGTTGAAAATGAAATTTCCCATGAACGGGGGAAAGTACATGCTTATGCCCCTCATTGATGAGCTAGCCATAACAAATATGTGGGGCATAACTCAGATGGAGGATATGTCGATGCTTGAGATATACATTGAGGAATCCTGTGACGCTTATGGTACTCATCAATCAACATCAAATGTTGTTGTATCTACGCATGATGTCAATGCAAGGGTGAATGCAGGGAACTCCTCAAAGGCTCCTGTACCGGACATGGTTATACAAGAAGATGGTAGGTATTTGCACAACGGTGCATCATTTGTGGATGGGCAGGGAAGTGATGATGATGCTGACGAGAACATCAATGGTGATGACATGACAGAATCTGATGAAGATGATGGTGATACTGTCACGGCAATTGCCCAGCATCCTAATTTTATATCTTTATGAAACAGATTACATGGATGCCGTTTACACCTGAGATGTTAGCAGAGTTGCCCCCAGCTGGATGAGAGCATACTCACATATGGCGAGCACATGTGCCGTTGATATGTTTTGACATTGTTGAGCTTCATTTGCCTGATAGAGTGTTGCGACAGTTTGGGTTTGAGCAGGTCATTCCACGGCCTATCGACACTTATGTTGAGCTGCATAGGCTGGATAGGCATGGGAAGCATACCGAGGATTAGGCACTCAGACATGTCCGATACGTCACTATGTGGGAAAGGCGAGCTGAGCTAGTTGTGGCTGGGACACCGACATTTGTCCCATCTGTTTCAGGAGACTACATGGGATGGTATTACAACATCACTCGTTTGTTTGTGTCTCCTTCGTTCAGACTCCCTACTCATCATTATCAGCCTAGCTCCTTGGCTTTGCATCTTACGGTGAGTATATTAGTAATTAATATTTGTATGTATTTCAATGTAATTGTAATTGTGTTTCATATTTCAGACACGAGCTTTGCAGCACATACATCAGCGGGCTACTGCCACAATGGCTGATAGTCATGATGTGGACATGTATGGACAGGCTCTGACAGGCATTGCCTCCTTGTGTTTAGATGTGTTGGGGGTGAGTCGACTACGACCATCTTATGCACATGCTCCCATCTCAGGAGATGCCATCCACGTCTAGTGCAGCGGCGGCTTCATCATTGCAAACGCAGCGTGAGAGAGTGCTTCTTCAACCACGACAACGGCGTCAGCGTAGACATGTGCAACAACATCTCCATGACGAAGCTGACGATGGGAACTTGTAGTTTGTCTTTTGTATTGCAGTTTTTCTTATACAGTAGATGTTGTAGGAACAATTTACAACATTTGACGTATTTTCTCTTGTAAAGTCTTGTATGCTGTCTTGATGTGTTCGAGTATGAATATTAGATGATTACTTGTTATGAATATTGGATGATTGTACTCTGTTATACCGGTTATGAATGTAAGGTTTTGTATTTGATTTGTAAAGGGTATTTTCAAGGTATTTTTTTATGTTGTTGAGAGTAGGTGTTATGTATGTGATTGTGAAGACGTGTGTTGTATGTTTTATAATGTGTTGTATCTGGCTCATAACACTTAAACAGGAGAAGAGATACCTTATTTATAGCAAACAGATGAGTCCGGGTTGAACTGGGGCGAAAAACCTGCTGAAATGCTGTTTTCGGACCTAGGCACGATCGTGCGTCCCAGGGCACGCACGATCGTGCGTGGCTGGCAGTAGCTGCTGGCCTTCGATCATATATAAGGGGTAAGTCGCCCAACCGTTTGACGACTTATAAGTCGCCAAACGGTTTGGCGACTTATACGTCGCCCAACCGTTGGGCGACTTACCCCTGACCGTGGTTAAGGCCACTTTTATACCCACTTTTGTACCCACCCATGTTTGTGAATTTTTTTTTTTGTCTGTGAATTCCTTCACAGACAAAATATGTCCGTGAAGGAATTCAAAGACATATTTTGTCTGTGAACCGGCTTCACAGACAAAAAAATAGCCTTCACAGAAATGGGTATTAGGTGGGTACAAAGTGGTGGGTACAGCAAGCATGGTTGACAGTAGATTGGTAATAACTTTTTTCTAGCATTATTTTTTACAGCAAGAAGGGAGAAGTATATACTCCGTACGTTCTTTTCCCTAAAATAAATCATTCAATTGCGACTTTCGAGAACATGCTTCAGATCGGATAGGTTTAGATCAAACCTTAGCGGTCTAGCGTAATTAAAGTTCAGGCGTCAACTCAATAGTTGACATTAGCACGGCGATCAGCGTCCCAGATGGGCGATGCGGGCGTGAATGGTTATATGGCGGGAGGATTGGCGCTGAAGCAGCCTCCGCCGCCGCCATCTGATGCGGCGGATGCGCCTTTTGTGGGGGCGAAAATATCGGTGTGGTGGGACATAGAGAACTGCCATGTGCCCAGGGACTCCGATCCGCATGCAATCGCGCAGAACATAAGCTCTGCGCTGGCGAAGTTGAACTACTGCGGGCCCATCTCCATATCCGCCTACGGGGATACTACCAATATTTCGCCTTTGGTTCAGCAGGCCCTTAATAGCACATGAGTCGCCCTCAACCATGTCCCCGCAGGTATTCATGTATTTTAACTCTTTGTGTGTAGAGATGAGAGCCACGGAAGATTTACCGTATTGCTCGTTTTGTGCTATTAATTAATTAATTAACTAATAAATTTGGGAGATTCTAGCCAGAGTGATGTATTAGACATAGTGTTCTGGCTCCGGGGTTGTTATAATGCCCGATCTGAGATTAAACGACGATTTTCGAGCTTGGGACTGCAACCATTACCTGTGTATGGGTGAACAGTAGTTACGTGTATTGATGAACTAATATTTATGCTTTAATAAGTTATGTATCAAGTGTTTTTTTGGGTGTTCATTATCAAATCTAACATACAGTCTTTCTCACTTGTAAGGGAATATCTCTATGGCAGTTGTGGGATTAACCCCTTTGTTTTTAGGTGTCAAAGATGCTAGTGACAAGAAGATATTGGTCGACATGTTGTTCTGGGCCGATGACAACCCAGCACCTGCTACTTATTTATTGATATCTGGTGATCGAGATTTCTCTAATGCCCTCCACCAGCTTAGAATGCGTAGGTACACCATTCTTTTAGCCCAACCTAAAAAAGCATCTGCAGCACTTGTTGCTGCAGCAAAGACTGTATGGCTCTGGACTAGCCTCTTAACTGGGGGCCTCCCTCTTAGTCATACTACTGAACCGAAACCATTCACAAATATCAGTAATGGCCTCATGACTAACAGTGACACATCAGCAATGTCGGCCAGCAAACCCAGCCAGTCTGTTGGTGTAGTCCATGAAAGTAACCTTCAACAAGGACATGGGTCTCCTGCTCATGCACCCAAAGTGTGGCGGCTAAATAAGGCGAAGGAGTTGATGAGCGAAAAGAACCAAATGAAGGGTGTGAAAAGGAAGGGGAGCAGTCAGTCTGTTGGTATTGTCTATCAAAGTAACCATCAACAAGGACAGGGGCCTGCTGCTCACAATTCAAGAAATCATTTTAGTGGTGATAATTCACCACCTAATCCTCATGCACCCAAAAGTATGGTATGGCGGCTAAGTAAGGAGAAGGAGTTGATGAGTGAAAAAAACCAAAAGAAGGGTGTGAAAAGGAAGGGGAACAGTCCAAGCAAACAACCTAGTAAGAAAACTTGCTGTGCAGCAAATAAGACGGGACCTGGGCACACACATAGTAAGGGTTGCTCTAACCGAAATACTAAATGTGCCAACTGTAAGAAGAACCATTTTGGTAAGTGTAATAAAGCACCAATGTGTTTCCATTGTGGAGATTCAAGGCATCTACTAAAGGATTGTCATCTGACAGGTGGCAAAGCCTTTAACAGAGGTAACCATCATAATAAGGGTGGTAAGCTTGGAACCTTTACACCCAGCGTTGTGACTCACATGATAAGTGGAGTATCCTGTCCAGATATTACTGCTAGCCAGGTCGTGGCTGGTGGAAACTGCCAGGATGTTAATATACCTGGAGCACGGACACCGAGTGTCTGCTATATGGCGAATGAAGTAGCCAACCCACAGGTTTGCGCTACTGAGGGAATGGGTGGTGGAAACCACCAGGATATTGGTATCTCCGGAGCTCCAACGCTGAGCGTTGTCACTCATAAGAGGAGTGAAGTAGTGACTCCTGATGTTTCTGCTAGTGAGGTAATGGGTCCTGGACCCAGCCCGGATATCGGTATACCTGGAGCCCATACATGTAGCGTCCATCACATGACAAGTGGAGTAGCCACTCCGCAGTTTGCTGCTAGTGAGGTCATGGTTGGTGGAAACCACCAGGATAGCACTATATCTGGAGCCCCATCACCGAGTGTTCTCCACAACACAAACGAAGTAGTCAATCCAAGTGTTTCTGCTAATAAGGTCATGGGTGCTGGAAATCCTCAGGATATTGGTTTACTTGGTGCCCGGACACTTAGCCATCACGTGACAAAAAGAGTGGCTACTCCACAGATTGCTTCTAGTGAGGTCATGGGTGATGGAAACTGCCAGGATATGGGTATATCCAGAGCCCCAACACAGAGCCATGGCCATCACATGACGAGTGAAGTAATCATTCCAGATGATTCTGCTAGCAACATAGTGAGTGCTAGAAATATCCAGGTTATTGGTATATCTGGAGCCCAGACACTGAGCATCAGTCCTCACCAGACAGGGGTACTAGCTACTCATAATAAACTGACACCAAGGCGTTTCTGTTGTGGAGAGATAGGGCATCTGAAAAAGGATTGTGAACTGTTGAATGGTGGATCGGCCAGTGAAGACGCTAGCCAAGCCACGAGTGGCGGGGACATGAGCAGTGGGAACTGTAATTATAGTGGACTAACTCGAGACCAAACACAGAGGTGTCTCCATTGTGGAGAGTTTGGGCATCTGAAAAAGGATTGTCAACCATCGATAGGTCGATCCACTAGAGATAATGTTATCCAGACCATGAGCGGCGGGGCCACGAGTAGTGGGAATCATAGTGATAGTGGACTAGCTCGAGACCAAACACTGAGATGTTACCGATGTGGAGAATTTGGGCATCTGAAAAAGGACTGTTTACCATTGACAGATCGATCCACAGGCGACGTATCTGTTGCAGCTCCTTACAGCAATGGAAAATCACTTTATAACACTACACCATTGTATGACATGACAGAAAGTTGCAGGTAATTTTCTTAGAGCATGTTTGCTTATACATTGTTGGTTGGTTGACTACTTGGTCTGCGTACTATCTATGACTGGAATTTGTGTATATAGTTTTTATTAAAATGTAGCACTGTATTTATGTAAGCGCATTACCTTTAAAAAGTTATGTTGCACCATTTATCTCAAACGAAAATGGTAATAACTTGGCAGTGTAAGGTGCTGCTTGCAGTCGGGCTACTCCTCTTTTGGATGTTAAGCTTTGACTCTGGATAGATCGGTTCATACCATATCAGGCATGTCCATATATTAGAGTAACTGATGCTGGATTTTGGCGCTTCTCTGCTTCACAGGGAACATGCACATTTCTATGTGTTGGGTAGTTTCGAGATGAGGTCACATACTTGTATGGTGATGGTCCTTGTATTTGACCTAGCCCGAGCCTATCATGCATCACAGTAGATCTTAGTCTCCTATGACTACTTGGTTTGCGTACTATCTATGACTGGAATTTGTGTATATAGTTTTTTTTTAAATGTAGCACTGTATTTATGTAAGCGCATTAACTTTAAAAAGTTATGTTGCACCATTTGTCTCAAACGAAAATGGTAATAACTTGGCAGTGTAAGGTGTTGCTTGCAGTCGGGCTACTCCTCTTTTGGATGTTAAGCTTTGACTCTGGATAGACCGGTTCATACCATATCAGGCATGTCCATATATTAGAGTAACTGATGCTGGATTTTGGCGCTTCTCTGCTTCACAGGGAACATGCGCATTTCTATGTGGTGGGTAGTTTCGAGATGAGGTCACATACTTGTGTGGTGATGGTCCTTGTATTTGACCTAGCCCGAGCCTATCATGCATCACAGTAGATCTTAGTCTCCTGCACTAGATTGGTGAAGAGAATTTGTTTTTTATGCCAATGGAATGTCAAAATTTGAAATTCTCGAAATCAAGTATGTGATTTTCAAGCCCTTCTGTGGGTGTACATGGTAGTTGGTCCAAGTTCATGATGTACATAAGGAGTTGGAAAGTAATTACTCAAGGGGCATTGAACAAGGTTTTTTAACAACCATTTTTGTTGAAGGGAAAAAAATAATTTTATCCATGAGACAATTTAACCATTGACTCATTGAGGGTTGTAGGATGTTTTGTTGATTATTTTGACATTCAGTCTGCACCCATAAGACCCAACTCAGGTGGTACTTGTATGTAGAAGAATTCCTCTGTCCTGTCAGTATTTTTGTTTTCGGGCTTCGCCAGTTGTTTGATTAGAACTAGATATACCTACTATTTTTTGGGTTTACCTAGTCCCCTTGCATATTTTTCAGGTCACTAGAAGGTTCGTGATTGCTCCTCCTCTGAGTGATGTCTCTTATACACATTAGTACGTTCCTTTTCGTACTTGAAGTGTGTGATACATCAGTGTTGGATCCATATTTTTTTATTTTATTTTGTATGCATAAGAAACCTGATTGTTGCCTTATTGGGCTATGGATTTTGACATTGAGGAATTAGTCAATTAGGATCTTAGGCATTTTGGAATTTTACAATTTCTCATATCGTCAAAACACAGAAATTGTTTAGTTGTATTGTCCATATGAATTTGGTTGTTTAGTTGGTGGCTTGGCTCATTGGTGTTGTGCTTTTATTTTCAACCTCCTTTGTTTTTTGCATTCTACTCTTGTAACACCCCGGCCCCACCGAACCCGAGGTAGTTACTCCGGACCAATAGTACTGTCCCCACAAACCACCACGAGCCTTTACCGCGCACTTTGTCCTCACTCATGCGCGCCCTGAGAAACTTCCCAGGGGGTCACCCATCCCAAGACTACTCCCGAGCAAGCACGCTTAACTTTGGAGTTCTTAGGTAATGAGCTCCCTTAAAAGGAGATGCACCTCTGTTGGTATGAGTAGTACTATTAATCCGTTTATATTAAATCTCAAGTGTTACAATCACCCCCACTTAGGATCGCAACGTCCTCGTTGCGCCCTTGAACCAATCTCAAATCTCAATCAAATCCCAGAAATCTTCCCCCGCTAAGTGCCCGCCCGATATCCAACGGGTCATCACACTGTCGCGAGGTTGCTCTGATACCACCTGTAACACCCCGGCCCCACCGGACCCGAGGTAGTTACTCCAGACCTCTAGTACTGTCCTCACAAACCACCACAAGCCTTTACCGCGCACTTTGTCCTCACTCATGCGCGCCCTGAGAAACTTCCCAGGGGGTCACCCATCCCAAGACTACTCCCGTGCAAGCACGCTTAACTTTGGAGTTCTTAGCGGATGAGCTCCCGTAAAAGGAGATGCACATCTGTTGGTATGAGTAGTACTATTAATCCGTTTATATTAAATCTCAAGTGTTACAATCACCCCCACTTAGGAACGCAACGTCCTCGTTGCGCCCATAAACCAATCTCAAATCTCAATCAAATCCCAGAATTTCCCCCCGCTAAGTGCCCGCCCGATATCCAACGGGTCAGCACACTGTCGCAGGGTTGCTCTGATACCACCTGTAACACCCCGGCCCCACCGAACCCGAGGTAGTTACTCCGGACCAATAGTACTGTCCCCACAAACCACCACGAGCCTTTACCGCGCACTTTGTCCTCACTCATGCGCGCCCTGAGAAACTTCCCAGGGGGTCACCCATCCCAAGACTACTCCCGAGCAAGCACGCTTAACTTTGGAGTTCTTAGGTAATGAGCTCCCTTAAAAGGAGATGCACCTCTGTTGGTATGAGTAGTACTATTAATCCGTTTATATTAAATCTCAAGTGTTACAACTCTTGTTGAAGAAGCGAGTTTTTATTTACATAATTAGAGTATTTTTTGTAGCTCAGGTGTACCAGTGAATTTTTTTATCGGGTTGGTGCTTAGCTTGTTGGTTGGGATACACTTGCTCCCCCCTCCTCTTTTTTTGTAATTCGTCATCATCATGAGCATAATTTGGCCTTTCATTATGGTTGGAAGTATTTCCGCTCTCTGGGTGTTTAGTTAGGTTGGTCAAGGCATATGAGGTTACTGTAAGATCCTGACTGTTGTGATTTTTCAATTTAAGACGATAAAACTATGGTCAGATTGGCAACATTTTCATTCAAATGATTGATTATTTAAAGGAAAAAAAGATATTAGATTTATTTAATGATGAATTGCTTTAATAGTAGACCTGATAGAGTGTTTGCAAATGCTTTTGCTTAAAAAAAGTACGTTTTGAAGTGATTTTGAAAAAAGTGATTAGTAGTAAAAGTTGATACAACAACAACGACATCCAAGCCTTAGTCCCAAACGATATTGCGGTCGGCTAACATAAGTGCTTTGAAAAGTTGATAGTGTTTGAGAAAAAAGTGATTTGAAAAGTAAAAGTTGATAGTGTTTGGTAAAATAAGTGCTTTTTGTGTAATAGAAAAATTAAAAAGCACTTTTCACCCAAAAGCCGAGAAGCGCTTTTTTAAATAGAAGTTGTTACTTGAAAACACTAATTTTAGCTTTTTTAAACCAAAAGCCAAGAAACGCTTTTTTAAGCTATTGCAAACAGACCTTGAATGGTGTAGGAAATTATGGACATTGCAAATGGAATTGGTGTATGAAATTGTTTTACTTTTCTTAAAAGCAGAATCAGTTTTTGAGAAACTAGTCTCCCTCGGCTTCTTAAAAACAACTTTGAGCGCCCAGAAGTACTTATGAGTTTTGTCCAAACACTCTAATATTTGGTTATGAAGCAGTTTTAAGAAGTAGATCCAAACACCACTAGATATGTAATTGGGCGCACCTCGTAGAGGATAAAGTTAAAAGTTTTTATTTATTAGAGAATAGTTGTTCAGTTGTTGGGATGCACATATATGATTTGCATAGCAAATGCACAACCGAAATTCATTCATTTGCATAGATTGATAAAGGCCAATTCATGCATATGCATTTAACGAAGTTTGTGAATGCTGATGTCAGATTGCACCATAAGAGCAGCTATTGAGGATGATCTATGAAGGGAATAAACACAAAAACTCTTAATAATCCCTGACCTTTCGG